AGCGAGCTGCCCAGCCTTAGCCCCGCTCTCTGCCCGTCCTCCCCGATCAGCACAAACTCACCCGGGAGTCTCCACTGCCAAACACCCAGGGGGGGAGGGGGATCTCAACACATTTATTGGCCCTTAGTTAACGTCCTTGGGGGGGGCCAAGGGCCGTTGCGGGCTCCAAGGCTAAACCCCGCCCTTGAATTTCTCCAGGCCCCCTCAAAAGGAAAAGGGGGGGGACAGGGAGGGGGGGGGGGGGGGAGGGGGGGAAGGGGGAGAAGGGGGTACCGAGAAACCTCCCGCTCCCTCTTTCTATCTCTCTCGACTTGTTGCTTGGCAAGGCGTCCTGTTGGGAACCCGTATGGATGCCCTGCACCACCCCCTGCGTTCGGCAAGAGCCCTGCGTTCGGCAGGTGTGAGACGAGTGCAGTGATGGTTGGCAGTGTGGCAGGAACCGCTGTCTTGCCGGGCTTGAGGCTGGTGGCACAGCCAGACAGGCCTCACCATGTCCAGTGCAGTAGTAATCAGCTCACGCCGGAAATATCATCATCGCTACACACTCTCTCAGATCCATCTTGTGCACCAACAAGACCCCAGATAGATCAGACTGTTTCTGTCTACCATCGGGCTACTCTGTCTCACATCATCACCGCTATCATGGCCATCATCACCACATCACAATCATCACCATCATCACCATCACCACAATCACAATCATCACCATCACCATCACCACAATCACAATCACCACCATCACTACAATCATCACCATCACCACAATCATGGCCATCATCACCCACCTCCTACCTCCCACCTCCCACCTCCCCGCTTCCTCCTCCCACCAAATCCCCAAACTCCCATCACCATCACCATCCCTCCCTTTCTCCCCTCCCCCCCTCCCCCCTCCACTCCCCACTCCCTCCCACACCTCACCCTCACCCACCACCACCACCACCACCACCCCATATACACTAAGATGGACGCCCAGCTCTACACCCAGCTGGAGGCCATCGACTCAGACATCAAGACTATCCTCCGCCGCAAGCGCCGCGCTGCCAAGGCCAAGGCCAAGGCCAAGCGGTCGCGGGCGGCGGATGGAGTGCCGTCGGGCCACGCCACCAAGTCGGATGCTCGGCGTGGCTCACGCTCGCGCTCGAGGTCGGATGACGGCTCAGAGTCAAGCGATGGAGTGACCCACATGCTCCCGGCCCGGATTCGTGCTCGAGCCTCGCGCACCGGCACTGCTGCCGGCCGGGGTGCTGCTCGCAAGTCCGCCCGCCCCACTCTCCTGGATGAGGTCCGTGCCGCCCGGGCCGATCCGGCCGATATCTACCGCTCCAACATGGCCGCCATCCTCGGATCGCGCTCCGCTGCTCTGAAGCGTGCTGCTGAACGTGAAGCCAAACGCAACTCGCGCCGTCGCCGCCCGCGCAAGGGCAAGGACAACACGCCTGCTGTGGCTGCCCCGGTCTCTGTCGCCCTTCCAGCCGTCAGCGCCATTCGCGAGCGCCTCGACGCCGAGGCCAAGGCCAAGGCCCGCAAGCGTCGCCTTCTCGCCCGCCGCCGCCGTGGCTCGCCGGTTCCGGAGCTCTCGTCGTCGTCGTCCGATGACTCGGACTCTGTCGCCTCGGACGCTTCGTCGTCATCACTCAAGTGGTGACGAGCAGCTCACCTCACCCGCTGCCGTCGGCCGTTTACTTCAACCGCATCGTCATCGGCGGAAGCAGCTCTTCCCGCGCTCGCTGGGCAATGTGTGGGTACTTGGAGTTCCGCTCCGATGGCGCAATGCCGCCGGGTACAAACAGCGGCTCGCGGTCGCGCTCCAGCTGCTCGATCACCCCGCCGACCACCTTGTCGCGATACGCCTTCCACCGCTTTGCCCGCACCTGCTCCTTGTACATCTCGCGGAGCTTTTCTTCCGGAATCGTCGTTGCATACAGGTGCTCCTCAAGCTTGCGGTGGAAGAGCGCGTGCTCAAAGTGTAGCAGGTCGTGCCGCGGAAGCTTGCCGACTTCGACCCCGTGCTCGCCGGCGGTCACCGTCTCAAGTGTCATCTCGCGGCTGTCGACCCGGAACCCAAACAGCGCTCCGCGCGTCAAGTCCTGCAGCCGCACCAGCTTGACCGGCTCGCTGCGGTCCTTGGCTTCGGCCGAAAGCGCGCGGTCGACATGAACAGAGCCCTTCTTGAGAAAGTACACATGCCGCGACCGCTCCTGTGCTCGGTACAGCACGTCGCCTGGCTTGTACTGCACGAACAGCAGCTTGTCCGCCAGCCGCTGGATGTCTGCGCGCGAGCAGTTGTCCGAAAACAGGTCATAGCCAAGAATAAACGACTGCTTGGCATCTGTGTCGCCCTTGATCTGGAACTTCATGATCCGGTTGTAGTCTGAGGCGCGCACCTGGAGCAGGCACGTGCCAGGCGTCGCCACAATCGACGCAGATCGCGGCTGCTTGCGCACGAGGCCAAGCTCACCAAACCCAACTCCAGACTCAAGCGTTGCAAGCAGCTCGCCACCCATGTACAAGTCACGGACCTCGTCCGGAATGTCGATCGACGACTCTTGCGACGAGTCGTTCGACTCGCCGCCATCCCCACTACCCTCGTCCATCTCAAGCGCGCCCAGCTCGCCGAGGTTCTTGATGTGGATCCCGCCGTCGTCGCTCGTCCCGCTGCCGCCACTGGCACCGGTCGTGCTCGCTGCCACACTTGAACCACCGTGGCTGCTGACCGGGCGGCTCTGATTCGACCCTTCGTCGTCGGCACGTGACACCTCCATAGTCACGCCCGGCGCGGGCGCTGTGCCTAGGTCCGCCCGCGGCACAGCGCCGTCGGCACCCTCGGCAAGCACCAGCGTTTCGCCCCATCCAGTCACAGCCTCGGTCTCGACCATAACGCTCATCTTTCGCGCGCGCGGACCACGGCGAGTGCCTCCGCGCGGTGTCCGTGGTGTACGTGGTGTACGTGGCGTCACACCGGCACTCGTCGTATCGCCTTGCCCGCTTGACTCGTGTGTTGTCCGCCGCCGCCGCCGCTGCCGCTGCCGCCGACGCCGGCCTTCATCGTAGCCCAACCGTGATGACGACGTATTGTCATCAAACGAGTCCGAAGAGTCTGACGGATACGATGGCTCTGACGGCAGTGAGCTCGCATCCGACGCGCTCGAGCACCCACTGCCACCGCCACCGCCACGTATTCTCCGGATGTCATCGAGCGACGGCTGCGCCAGCACAGCCTCACCGTGCTTGAGCAGGTCCGATCGCGAGACCGAGATCGAGCGTGCTCCGGCCGACGCTGCAAGCCCCTCCACCGACGGTCCAGACGGCATAAGCATCGAGCTTGACGCCAGCAGCCCGCGCGAGCTCGAAATTGAGTCAGCCCGAATCGAAGCCTCCGACTCGCGGTGCTTGATCCGTGCAAACCGCGACTGTGCCTGCTCGATGTCCTGCTGCTTCCGCAGCTGCTCCCGCTGCATCTTCTGCCGCTCCTCCAGACGTGAGCGCACACCTCCCGGCGGCGGCGCTACAGACGCCCTCCGGCCCTGCCGCGTGCTCCACACCATTGTCACCATCGATGGCCGACGCACCACCGGCGCGCCTCCCGAGCTAATCGACGCCATTGACGCACCGGTGCTCAAGCCTGCGCTCGAGGTCGACACCGCCAAGTTTGTCATCGACTGCGCGTTGATCCGTGCCTCACGCGTCAGCAGCTTGCGCCGCGTCGACTCTTTTCGCTGCAGCAACCGCATCTTGGTCACCATCGTCAGCGACTGCCGCGCCTCTAGATTTCGCGCCTGCTTTTCCGACAGCAACGCTCGCACCGATCGCTGACTCTGAAGCGTCGGCGCACGGCCGCGCGTTGTTGCCGCTTTCAGGAGCGTGATCCGCGCAGGAGGGCGCGTGCGCCCGAGCTCATGAACCTCTGTGGCTGGCTGGGAGTCTCCACCGTCGACAGAGCCGCCAGAACCGACGGACGCGGCCGCAGAACTGACCAGCTCACTGGCTGATGCCGAGCTTGCCGAGCGCTTGCCCTTGCCCTTGCCACGTATTTTCTCACTGCTCTTCCCGCTCGCGGCCTTGAGTTTGGATGGCGCTACCGCGCCTCCACGGGTAAAGTTGGCGCCCATCTTGAAGCGACGGAAGAAGAGTTTGCGGTTGCGTCGCGAGCGAAGTTTGTGACTCTCGTACGCTTTGACCCGCTCGAGCCGGTTGATGATGCGGAGGACGCGACCAAAGCCGTTACGGGTCGCATCGCAGAGCAGCGTCCAAAGCCGGCTCTTGATCCAGGTTCCGGTGCGGACGTCAAACCGGACTCCCGTCCGTTTGCCCATCGACAGCGAGCCGACCTGGTGGGCCATCCGCGGGTCCTTCGCCATTCGCTGCGCATACTCAGCCTTGGCCGCCGCCGCCACCATCAGCCGCTTCTTGAAAATGACAAAGAGCGCAATGTCAAAGAGCGATATCTTGAACCTGCGCTTTGCCCGGTGAAGGGCAAGCTCGTACGCCGTCTTTCCCAGCACGTCCGAGCCAGTAATCTGCAGCGCTTCGAGGTCTCTGCCCGAGCCCGAGCCCGAGCCAGAGTCCGAGTCCGACTCGGTCTTGCTGCCGTTGCTGCCACGACTCCCTAGCTCAGCGGCAGAGCCAAAGTTCTTCTTCTGTGCCACCACGACATCAACAGCTCCGGTGAGAACGACGTACCATGACTCGGGCACATCGCCTTGTTTGAACACAACCGACCAGTCCTCAAACCGGACAAGGGTGCAGACCCGGCAGAGCTTCCGGAGCACAGCCTTGTTGAACGACATCAGCCCGCGAACACCGCGAAGCATGTCATACAGCAGCTCCACCTCGGCCGTGGTTCGATCCGACGCTGCACGATTGCGGTTGGCGAGAATCGACCAGAACTGCTTGCGCCGCTCAGCGCGGACCAAGATCTTCTTCTGCCGCTCGACCAGAATCGAGTGCGCCGCATCTTCCAACGCCTGCGCCGCCTGCGCCACCTGGACATCGTTGCAAATCCGTCCAACAACTGCCGCATCATGTCGTGTCTCGTCCTCCACCGGCCGCAGCCGCACCGGCTCGCGCCGGAGCGTCAGCGACCGGTACCGCGGTGAGGCCAGTCCTCCGGCGCCCACCAACCTGCGCCGCGCCTCTGCAGGCGGCTCAGGCTCACGCATGCTCGACAGTGCCAACCCCTTGGCTCGTTGCTGCCTCGCGCCGACAATCGAGGCAGCAAATCGCTCCTGTGACTTGCACGGCGCCACAAATACGGCATGCGGTGCTGGCATGGCGCTGTTAGGAATCCGGCGGCGCGGGCTCGCTGTCGGCGGACTGTCTCCTCCCAGCAGAGCAACGTTATCACCATCTTTGGTGAAAGCCTTCTCCACCACCGTCACATCCGTGTTGGCCCACTCGACAACAGTCTCGTTGAGCATGGCGCCAAAGGTGCTGCCGGTTGCGGCCGAGCTCGCCGACAACGACACCGACGCCGACTCATAGCTCGAGCTTGTCGAGTAAGAGCTGCTCCCGCTTCCGGACCTAGAGCTCGCTGACCAAGATCCTCTGCCCGTTCTTCCCCGTCGCCTTTGTCGCCGCCGACTTTGTGCTGCCTTTGCCCGTGCCTGAGCCCCTGCCCGCGCCCGTGATGCCGCCAGCCGTGGTCCCAATGCCCTCGCCACCACCCGACGGGCATGCGGCGATGAGACCACAGCCGGGAGACGGGCCAGGATCCGAGCTGTAGCCATGGGTGTTCGGTCCAACATCCTCTCTGCCATGTCTCTCTCTCGATGGTGATGAGAGAGAGAGAGGGGTGTTGCCCCGTTTGGCCGTGGCCGTCATGAGCTGGGGGGGGGGGGCTGGTGGCGGTGGTGGGTAAGGCCAGTCGTCGGCCCGCACCTGCCACCGCAACCGCAACCGCAACCACAACCGCAACCGCAACCGCAACCGCAGCCGCATCTGCCACCGCAACCGCATCTGCCACCGCAACCACATGTACCTGCAGTGGACACCGCTATGCACACCACCACCACGCCCATCGCCATCCCCATCCCCATCCCCATCCCCATCTCCACATGCTGATGGCGTTGAAACCATGCCGCCAAGCCGTATCACCGCACGCGTACTCTCCCTCTCGCCCTCCGCACCCCACACACTACCCACCCCACCCCATCCCCCCCCTCCCCGCCCCACACACCCACACCACACCCACAATCCCCCCCACCTCCCCCTCATCACCTTCTGCCCGGGCTATGCGCAGGTGTGTGCTCTGCGGCAAGTACACCACTCGTGCTACGTGCTGCCAGGCGAGAGCCACGGCAGACGCTGCTGACTCAGCCGTGCCCAAGGGCTGGTCACGGGCTCCTCTGCCTCCGCCGATCTTCTCTCTCGCTGCTCCCACTCCCTACTCAACCCGCAAGCTCCCGCCGCGCCCAGCTTCGGCTGCTGGTCCTCGCTCGCCTATTGCTCGCTCCCATCGTCCAGCTACTGCTGCCGCTACATCGCGCCGCCAGCCTCGCTCTCGCACCAACGCCGCTTGCTCTCCGATCACTGCCGCACGCCCGCACTCACGCCTTCTTGCAACTCGCCCGGCCTCGACCTCACCCTACCTCTCAGCTCCGCTGTTGGGACATGCTCCATCGTCACGGCGCCCATCGTCACCGGATACTGCTGTCCGTGGCGATCTTCCGCCACGCCCGTTCTCCCGCACATCGTCTCGCGCTGCTGCCCGCACAGCTACAGCCGCTGGTTTTGTCCCGGCTACGGGTCCGCTGATGGACTCGCCGCTGCTGGACACAGATCGAGACGTCCCACCGCCGCCTTGGCGCGACCCCATGGCCGAGTCGGCCGACTCGGACCAAGACGCCGACGACTCGAGCGCCTCCACCTTTGCCGAAGAGCTCTCGTTCTCATCGTCGACCGACCCCGAGCTCGACGCTTGGCATCGTGCCTTTGCATCTCCTCTGGAGCAGTCCGAGTCGGGCCCGGCGGCTGTGCCGGCCCTGGTCCGCCCGGGCTCGGCACTGGCTCTTGCCTCGCGCCGTTCGCTCCGCCACAAAGTCCGCCCGCGGACCACCACCTCGCGTGCAGACAACTGGTTTGATCCTGTGCCCCAGCTTCCGCTTGATGCCATGCGTCTGGGTGCCCGCCGCGATGAGCCGCTCGCCACTGTGGCGGCGCGCTCAGTCCTGGCGCTGCGGGTTGGCGAGTTTGGCGCCGTTGCTGGCGATGCCGCCTACAACCGCATGCATACACTCCTCAATCCGTCGTCCTCTTCCCACGGCTTCTGTCACTCTGCCGATCCACTCGTCGAGTCAGCGTACTGGGCCAACGACTTTTCCAGCGCACCGCTGACGGTTTGCGCCAAAGGCACTGACTCTGTCGACGCTGCTGTCGATGCCTGCCGCGCCGCTCTTGAGAAGCATGGTGACCATGGTCTTGACTCCGTGCTGGTCACCTACGAGCTTGGCTCGTGTGCTGCCTTTCTGCCTCTCTTTAATCAAGTCACCGACGAGATTTCGCCGTCGGTCGTCGTCGCCGCCACTCTGCCGCCGGCCAGCCATCTTGCTCACGCTCCGCTGCCGCACGCCCACGTCCTTGCACTTCACGAGCTCTCCCTCATTGCTGCAGCCACCGACTTTGCTCTTGTCACAGATGCAGACGTTGTCCTCCGAAGAGTCGGTCGCAACGCGTCCAAAGCGGCAGCCGCCCGGGTCGTCGGTCGCGCCCTCGCCTCGGTCGCCATCAACGCACCACCGATCCAGTGGCGCGACCTCTCGCTCCGGTCCGGAACCTCGCATCAGCGGCTTCCGCTGTACTCGGTTCATTATGCGCAGCTTGGCAAGCGACACCCACACATCGAGCAGCTAATCCCGCGTGTCTTCTCGCCGTCGTCCTCACTTGCCACCGCGCTGAGCGATCCGCGCCGCCTCGACACGGACATGCTCCTCTCTGCTGCAGTCTATGCCTCGGGTCTCTCGTCGCGTGCCACCCACGACGTGCACCGGTCACTGCTGGATCCTATCGGCTCCCAGTGTCGGCTCCACGCCGATCCTTCATGGGCCATGGCTCGAGGCACCTCGGTTGCACTCCTTGTCCACTCGGCAACGTCGAAGAAGCTCCCAGCGGCGGTCACGCTCCTGGCTGCTCACTCGGGCATCGGCGCAACGCTTCTCAGTCGTCTCAGGCGGTTCGATGCTGCGCTCGACGCGAACGCTTTCCTTCATTGGCTCCCTTCATATGTCGAGCTTGACGACCTACACGACACTCGAGACGACGTCGCCGACGCCGCCGCCGCGTATCATACCCTTGGTGAGACCCTCTCTCCAGCCCCTAACACGCCGGTCGAGTACTCGGCCAAGGCCTGGTGAGTTCCACTAAAGAAATGCGTCCATGGTCAGCGCTTCGTACGACGAGTCCGAGTCAAACATGATGGCCATGTTGTCGACTGGCCGAGGAGGGCCCGGAATCGGCGATGCCATTGAGTTGTCGTCGACACTTGCCGTCTGCCTGCCATGCCGCATCTTGCTCAGCCTTGTAGTCGGCGTACGGCGAGCGCCCAGCAGCAGCCTGGGATGGCGTAATGTGCGAGACCACAATCGGTGACGACGAGTTCGAGTCAAAGTGCTCGACCACCGAGCCGCGCCGCTCGACCACCGAGTTGCGCCGTGGCATGTTGTTGACACCGTCGTTGGAGCCTGGACTGCTTGTTGACTGAGTGCTCGAATCATCAGCGGCCGCCGCGTCTGACCGAGCCGAGTCTGACACCGCTTGGTCCTTGCGCATGGCTTCCACTTCGGCCATAAACGGATCGCGGGCCCGGAGCGAGTTGATGATCTTGGTCTGGACCTCGGCCTCGGCAAAGTTCTCGTTGACCACAGCCTTCTTCTTGGCGAGCTTGGCATCATGCAGAGCCCGACACCGCGAGAGCAGCAGCGCTGCCACAGCGTACTCGCCCTTGGACTCGGCCTCGTACGCCATCGCTTCCAGCTCAGTCTTGCCCAGCCCGCCGTCCTTCCGCTTCCCGCGCAGCCGGTGCACCATCGACACCTTGCGGATGTGCAACCGATGCGAGATGCCTGCCACCAGTGATGGTCCTGCATTTGCATCCGCGCCGCCATCGTCGCTCCCTCCTGAGCTGGAAGATGAGCTGCTGCTTCCCGAGTTCGAGCCCGAGCCCGAGTCTGAGCCCAGCCTCCCCTTTCCGCCGTCCTTCCGCGGATTGCCGGCATACGCCGGCCCACCATCGCGCATCCGTTTGTGCTCCTCCAGCCGCGCGGCGCGATGCGGATGGGTCTCTGCCCATGCAGCGTATAGGCTCTCGACCTCGGCCTCGAATGGCTCGCGCTCTGTGAGCTGAATGAGCTTGGCATCAAGAGCCTCGGCTGTGGTAAAGTCCTTGGCCAGGCGAGCATCGGCAAGAGCGGCCTTGGCCTCGCGCACCGCCGCCAGTCGGTCCTTGAGCAAAGCAGCAAGCGCATACTGATCATAGCGTGCAGCCTCATACATTCGTGCCTCCAACTCAGTCTTGCCCAGTCGTCCGTCCGCTCGCTTCCCCCGCACACGTTGCGTCGCCGCCACACGCTTCTGGTGCAGCTGCTCTCGTCGCTTGGTCACTCGCGCCCCGACCTTGGCCTGCACCGCCTTGCGCCCAGCCCGCGCCTTCTTCAATAGTCCGGACATGGATGACTGGGGGATAAGGGGGAGGGGGGGGGGGGGGGAAGGGGGGGGGGGGGAGGGAGTTAAGTGTTGGCTGGGTGCAAGGGGGCTACCAAGGGCGTTGTGTGGTCCCACGTGCCGCATGCTGTTCGTGTTCGAATAGAGGCGAATTCGGAAGGCTCTGGAGTTCCCATCACCACGGCATGCCCGATGCCGCACCTAGCTAGGTGAGCATCTCTTTGCTTTCTTGAGACATTGGCTAGTATGCAACGCGGCCGATGAGGAACTTGGCAAGGAGTCGCCGCGCATACGGCGAGTGGAACGAGTTGAGGAAGAGAGTGGTCGAGTCGCGCCCGGCACCCTGCATGATCACATCGCCGCCAGGGTGCGAGGCGATGAACCGCGTCACGTCATAGACATAGTCGTCGATGACTAGCCAAGCGTCATCAACGCTGGCGTGCTGTGCCACTTCATCCATAGAGTAGCGAGGGAGGTCTGACGAGGCCTTGGTGTAAAGCGGCGGCGGCGAGCCCGGCGTCGACACCCCACCGCCCAGCGCCGCGCTGCCGAGGTCGACCGTCGGCGCGAACCGGGTGAGTGCATTTGGTGCGTGTCCAACCACATCGATGAGGTACGAATACATCGAGGCATTGAACGACGATGGTCCGCACACAAAGACATGATGATGATCGCCGGGTGGCGAGCGCATCAGCGACGCCACCGCCTCGGCGTTGAGGCGGCCAGCCATCGCGCCCTTGCCCGTACCGGCCTCGTATGACTCGGCAGCAAGCGCCGCAGGACTTGCTGGAGGCGTGGAGAGCACAAAATCAAGTGCAAACCCGTGCTCAGCCTGCAACGCCAGAATGTCGTCGGCCATGAGCACGTCGGCGGCTGTCGAGTTAGCAAACACAAGATGGATCGAGTCGAGGCCGTCGGTGAGCAGCGCCTCGCGCAGGACCCGGATGATAGGCGTGATGCCGGTCCCGGCAGCAAACAGCGTGACTGCACTCCACCGCCGTGGCTTCCACGCAAAGTCCGACGGCATGTGTGGCCGCGAGATGTCGAGCGTCTCCCCCTCGGCTAGCGCGTGGATGTAGCTTGACATCGGGCCATCGGGGTAGCGCTTAACAAGGAGCTCGAGCGTGATACCACCTTCTGACAAGCCAGTCGCCGATGTCGGCGCATTGATCGGGGTGTACGGGCGGACGACCACGTTGCCGGCAATAGTAGCACGGGTGTTGACATGTGCACCGAGCGGAAGCGGATCAAACTCGCCGGGCGGGGGAATGAAGCAAAAGACCGAGGTGTCGTGCGAGACTGGCCTAATATGTGAGAGCTGCCACCCCGCATAGTCATCATCCGATGCACCAGCAGCTGCTGCTGGCTCGGCAGCAGCCTTGGCCTTGGGCTTGGGCGTGTATGGCACGTTGGCCACAATACCGAGGACGCATGACTTGAGCATCATTTGGATGTTGACCCACGGATGGACCGAGAAGAACAGATCCGTAGCATCGCGCCCGGCACCGCGCAGCAGTTGGTCGCGTCCGCCCGGATGGTAAGCGATGTACTTTGTGATGTTGTAGACGGTGCCCGAGACAACCATCCACGCATCGTCCTCCTCGGCATGGTCCGCAACCTCAGCCATCGAGATCCGCCGCATCTCTCCACCAGCTCCAGACATGTCCTCCCCCGACGTCGTCCTCCGCATCCAATCCATCTGCGAGTGTCCGGGCTCCAGCACGACCTTCCGCCGCTTCTTCGCCGCCTTGGCCGCGCCACCCTCGCTACTCCCACCTCCGCCAGACGCCAGCTGCGGCGAGTCCCGCATTGGAAAGGACGAGATGGTAACCCGGGGTACGTTGGCCATGCCACAGAGAATGAGACGTGTGTACCGTTACGCTGTTGACAATGGTGGCTCCCCTTCGTGGCTCTCTCTTGGTCACCACAGAGTTGGACGCTCTTCTTCTGTGATCGCGCAAATATGACACCGCGATCACCGTTCAGCGCAAGCAAAGAGCTCAGCGACCGCACACTCAGGCCAAGTATCAGCATGAGCATCATCGCTCCCCCCCAAAGACAATATAGTGAACGTGTTAAGGGCACAGCTTTCTGTCGGCAATCGTAACCGTGACCACGAGCTTCCAGGCGAGCCAGACTACTCTACGGCGTATGGCACCTGCAAGCTCGATGACAAGCTAGAGACTGCCGTTCACAGCGTCCTACTTCTGCAGCACTGCTTGCGGCAGTTGGTGCAGCGAGTCACGGGCAGTTGTGTCTGGCTACTCGCCACGGTCGATCGAGAGCGATGACGACGAGATCAGAAGCTCGATGTCACGTTCGGTTGAGGTCATGGTCCGCTCCGAGTAGTACGAGGCGTAGGTATACTCGCCGGGCAGCGGAGCAGGCACCGAGTCTGGCCCGGACAACACCGCTGTCTCTGCAGACGAGGTGTTGGGACTTGTTGATGACGACGAATATGATGGTTCTGTCGCCGCAGCGAAAGACGAGACTACGCGTGGGAGTGTTGTCGACCGGCTCATCGAGACGGCGCTTTCGCTCTCGGCAGCCGACTCGAGCAGAGCTTCGTGAGAGGGGACAGCGATCATGGAGCGGGAGAACCGCCGGTTAGACACATTGCCTCCGGAGAGCGAAGACTGGCGTTCGAGGGCGGGGCCGCCAGGGTCGACGGACGACGACTTGTCGTGCTTGCCACTCACAAACGCCTTGATGGCCGAGGAGCCTATAAGCTCGGTCGAGTCCTGTCCAAGGCGGTTGAATGAGTCCATGGCCTCTTCGAGCTCGGGCTCGGGAGGCAGCGGGCCGCCCGCGTGGTGATCAGAGAGAATGGAGACGCTGTTGGACAGGAGAGAGGTCCGACGCCGCACAGCGTTGGGGTCTTGACGAGGTTGACAATCGAGCGGGGCTTTGTGCTCGGGTGTGTGGTCGAGATGTAGCGGCAGTACCGGCGTCGTCCGACTCGCTATGATCGTCTGAGTCGCGGCTGCTATCGTCACTGACGTCGTCATCAGGCGAGAAGATGCTATGATGGACATCGCCACGGGAGAGCACAAAGACCTTGTCAGAGGAGACGAGCCGGACCGAGCCCTCAGGGTTGGTGTAAACATATCGGTGGCCCGTCGATGGCTCGAGCCGGTAGAGACCAAGTGGAATAACAGCAAGAGTGGTCGAGTAGAACTCGACGAGTTGAGCATAGGTCAGATGAATAAACTCGGGGCGGAGGTTAATCTGAAAGATCTGTGACGAAATGACGCACTGGCACGCGTCCTTGCCCAGGCCGAGCATCTGGCGGACAATGCTGATGATGAACGGCTTGGTAAAGGCCTGGCAGAGGAGCGAGTCGATGACCGGTGAAGTAAAGACCGAGCCTGACGCAAACTGCGAGAGAAAGGTGTAGTCAGAGACAGCGGAGCCATACACCGGATCGTCGTTGTCGACGAGGTCGACATGCACAGCCGACGACGAGAGACCCGGCTCAGAGCCGAACACGTCCTCGGCAACCGGATCAAGGAACCGCGAGTTGGAACCATGAGCGAGCTCGGCAATGTATTGGATTTTGACGTTGGAGCGCTCAAACTTGTGGCGGATGGAGCGGAGCGAGAAAATGGTATCGGCGTCGAGCATAAGCTTGTCCGACGACGGGTTTTCTGAGTTGGCGAGGACGATGAGCCGGGCAGCCTCGCCGACGTTGACACGATAGAGGTCAGTAAAGACTCCCGCCGAGCCCTTGACCCAAAAGACGTTGGAGAAGCGGGTGAGGACAAACCAGAGCTCCTTGGTCGGCCGCTTGGGCGAGAGGAGGACAATGGTGGGATGAAGTGCCAGCCGCTTTGAGCGGAGCGGGAGGATGAGTGAGGCGAGGCCCGAGTGAGTGCCGGCAACAATGATGTGGTTGCGGAAGATGCGCGGATGCGGGAGGGTGTTGGTCACGTCGCTCTCAGAGCGCGCCTGGTCGGGGGGAAGAATGTCGTAGATGTGGGCCCAGACGTTGCGCGGGCGCGGGGCAAAGAGTGACTCTTCAAGCGAATACGGGTCGATGAGGTACTCGTCGCCGATGGCCCAGTTGGGAAGGATGTTGATCGATGAGACTCGCGAGGAGTAAATGTTGTGTCGGTGGAACTCGACATCTTCGCCAAAGGCGTTGGCGGAGGCATCGTTCTTTCCCGTCGACTCAAACGACGAGTTGGACGACGAGTCGGACGGAGGTATCGAGAGGCCTGGTGGGAGGCCTTTCACGGCCATCGTTGGCGTCGACACATAAACCGGCGGCGTGCGGTCGCCGACTGAGCTAGGCGCGGTGTCGAGAGCGGTATCCATGTCGACCGAGGTGGCCGACGGGACGGTGGCCGACAGGGTGCGGACGCGGGCGGCCGACGGTCCGACAAAGACCGAAGACCTCCGGTCCGCACCGGGTGGGATGGGCTTGTGAGTAGCGGCAGCAGCGCGGGTGGCCGCACGGGCCGAGGCGACGTCAGACTTTCCGGCGCGGCTGCGAGCCGACGCGTCGGCCTCAGCGGCGCGGGCGGCCATGGCCTGCTCGCGGAGGACGGCGGACGAGACAAAGAACGACGATGCAAGGTTTCGCTTCGACTGGGCGATGATAAAGAGGCGATCGCCGGCGGCAATGACATAGTCGTGGCCGGGATTGAGCCAGACTTGAGGCTGGCCACGAACGTAGACAAAAACGGCAAAGGTGATGGCTGAGAGCTCAGCGTAGATTGCGGCGGCGGCGGCGGCAAAAGTGAGTCCGCTAAGACGGGGTGCTGCGACTTCAACGTAAACTTCCTGAGAGATACCGTAGGTGTACTCGTGGGTCCAACCTGCGGTTCCGCCGACGTCCGAGTACGAGCGGACGAGGTTGGTGATGAGCGTGCAAAGACCGGGCGCGAGGCACGACTGGGCGAGCAAGCCCATCTTGATTTCGTCGACGCAAAGGATGACGTCTGCGCCTGCGGCGGCCATGTGGCCGATGTTGCGACGGTGGAGGGTCTGGGTGTAGACGCGGACGTGCGGAACGTACTCGGAGAGGGCGATGGCCTTGAGAATGACCGACGAATCCTCGCGGTTGGCAGCAGCAGCGAGCTGGTCGACCGTGAGAAAGATGGCGGTGGCGGTGGCAGCCTTGGCGCGAACGAGATCAGAGGCGTTGAGTGGCGAGCCGTGGAGATACGTGACGTGGGCCTCGTAGAACGGGACCGAGAGGAGGGCAGCAAGGGCTGTCGATGGCTCGGGCGAGGACGAGAGGATGACAACCTTGTGGTCCTGCAGCTCATTGTCGCGATGGTAGAACTCGCGGAGGAAGGTGACGGCCGAGTCCATAGTGGCGACCGAGCCGACAATGACGACGACGTGGATGTCGCGCGAAGAGGTCTTGAGCGAGCCGCCGTACTTGGGCCTCGCCTGCTGAAGTGAGATGAGCTTGGAGGTCTGGAGAGGAATGAGGACGATGCCGATGAAAATGATGATGATGACGAGCCAGCGGCCGAGCTGGGTTTGCGGCACAATGTCGCCATAGCCGACGGTGGATGAAGTGATGACCACGAACCAGAGGGCGTCATCAAAGGTCATGGGGAAGTCGGCCGAGTCCTCGACGAGCTGGATGAGGCAAGCAAAGCAGAAGAAAAAGTCGACGATGGTGAGGACGACAACAAGGAGCTGGCGCTGGAGCTCCGTCTTGGTAAACTCGAGGAGGCGGTGCGAGCGGAGAACGCGGAGGATACGGAAGCCGTTCATGAGGCGGAGCGTGAGCGATCTGGAGTTGAGGTCTGTCAAGGCGGTGAGGACGAGATACGGCACGATCGAGTAGATGTCGATGAGCGAAAAGAAGGAGAAGAAGTGGGTGAGCTTGTTGCGCGCCATGAAGAAGGCCCAGAGGTAGTCGATGAGGAAGAAGACGGTGAGGACGCCGTCGAGGCTGTGGGTTGGGCTCCACTTGGTCGTCCGATGGGTGTACGAGTCGGCCACATACAATCCGGCCGAGACAAACGAGATGACCACCTGAAACAGCTGCCAGTTGCCCTCCACAATGGTGTAGAAGTTGTAGTTGATGTAGTCCCGGACCGCCACCAGCCGTCCACGGACCGTCCGTCCCGTGGCGGGTGCAAAGTGCAGGTACGTCCTTGTGCCGGCAATGAGGACAGGCAGCAGGAGTGGAGTGAGGAGGCATGCCGCCAGCACCTCCACCTCGTTGAACATGGCAGTATGGGGATGCGTAAGGCAAGAGAGAGAGAGAGAGTGTGTGTGTGTGCGTAGGTGGGGAAGGAGGGTGGGGTGTGGTGGGTGGCAGTGATCGTGATCGTGACCGTGATCAAACCAAGACCTTTTCCTGTGGCTGTGGGCCGCCGGTCGCTCGGTCACGGCCACTCGACGAGTTGATCACACCACCAACCGCCAACCGCTAACCACCAACCACCACAACCCTTCACTTCACTCTGCCTTACGTCGGCACTTTCTCGCACACACAGCCCCCCCGCACACACAGCAGGAAGGACAAGGCTGAGTTGTTGAGACAACGAGTGGAAAGGAGCGGCGTCAGTCGAAGATGCCGCGCAAGTCGCGGAGCAAACGCCCTGGGTCGAGCAAGTCGCGGAGGCGCAGCGGACACGGACGCGGGACAGGGAGTGGCGGCGATGGGGCTGGGCTAGCCAGCGGGGTTAGTGGATCTGGAGCTGAGACGGGCGAGTGGATGACGAGTGGAGGAGGTGGCGCTGAAGGAGGTGGCGATGCTGGAGGCGGCGGCGAGAGCGCGCGTGACAGCGCTCGTGATGGCCATCATCGCCATCAGCGGCGCCGCCATCACCATCACTCGACCAGCAGGGATCCAGCGCCGATCGAGGTCCAGATTTCGGCAGCGACTCGGATCCAGGCAGTGTGGCGTGGCTTTCGGGCCTGGCGTGAGAGAGGCCGGCTGCAACTGACCAAGCGCAAGATGGCTGCGGCCCAGGTGGTGCAGACCACATGGCGGGCATACGCTGCTGTCCGCAAGGTCCAGCAGCTGCGCCTGGCCAAGAGAGAGCACGAGGCGGCGGTGATGATTCAGGCTGCGTGGCGAGGACACGCACTGCGGCTGTTGCTGGCGGTCTCACCTCAGCCGCAGCCAGTGGAGCTCCCGGCGAAGCGGCGTATGGCCATGGTCGACTACATGGACGCGTCGCTTGTGCCATCTGTCGAGCCCTCGCTTCACAATCTCATGCACGCGCTGCAGGAAAACTGGGCGGCAGCAGCGGCGCGATCGGCCGAGATTGAGGTTCTTGCCAAGGAGCTGGAGGCCAAGGAGGAGGCGCTGCGCCGCGAGCGGGAGACTAACCCGTCGTACATCCCTCCGCCTCTTGCGCCCGGCGAGATGAGCCCCGATTCGCTCCGTGCCGCGCTGGTCATGGATGTTGAGCCGCTGGAGCCGTGCCGGGCATTGGCCTCGCTTCTGTGCGAGACATCAATCCGCCGGCGTGTGCCTGTCGCGCTCGAGCCGATGCGGCGCTCGCTGTCGTCAGGCCTCTTGCTGCGGAGCGCCACCAGCAACGCCGAGCTGTCGGCTGCAGCCGAGCAGGGCGTGCCGCGACTGTCGCGGACCAACTCGAGCACACTGATGGTCTCGCCGTGAGCGACTGACTGTTGGAAGTGGTTTATCATACTCTTGCCAGAAGCTCGATCACTGCGCAGACCGGAAGATGGTCTGACGGGTGCTCGGCGCTCGGCAGCGAGGTGCGGATGACGTCGGCGATGGCCTCGGGGGTTGAGAGCCGATCAAAGACCATGAGTGGCCGCAGATGCGGGAGAGCAGCAAAGACAAAGTCGATGGTGCTTGTCCTCATGTTGGGCGCCTTGAACGTGACCGTTGGCTCGGTGCCCGTGCAGTGGGCGTAGCTTGAGACGAGCGAGGCATCGTGGGTGGCGGCCTTGCCGACCACCACGTCGTCAAAGCCGTCAAAGGTTTGGACCTCGCCGGCGTCGACGGATCCAGTCACCATCAGCTTGTACACCAGCGAGTCGGCCTCGTCGTTAAAGTCCCCGCAGTACACCAGGCGCAGGTTGGCGAGCGTGGCCGCGGCATCAAAGGTCCGTGCGCCCGCAAGCACGCCCTTGTGCAGCGACGATCGGACCTGCGAGAGGCGGGTGTTGACCTCAGCCGGGTGACCTTGCAGATGGCAGCAGACAAGCCAGACAAGATGTGGTGCCATGGCACTGCGCATTGCCCTTGCTGCCTTGTTCCGTGCCGTCTTGACTTCCTTGGCCAGCTTCTTGAGCGCCCTTTTGTCCGGCGGTGGCGCATTGGCGCCAGCATCGGCGACTTTTGTGGCAGCAGCGGTGCGGACGCGTGCCTCAGCCTCATCTTGTGCTGCCGCAATGTGATCCATGCCTGGAATGACTGCGGCAGGCCCAAATCGCGGAAGCAGGGCAACGACCAGAGTCCGCGAGCGATGGTTCTCGTACGCCAGCTCGAACAAATCAGAGCGGAAGATGATGGCGTTGGCGGTCTCATGGGTCTCGGCTCTGTTCTTGTCGTTCTGCAGAATGGCGGTGTAGCCTGCAGCCGCAAGGGGGCTGGCGAGATCAGCCTGGAACTTGGGGATGGGCATCTCCTGACAGGCAGCCACGTCCGGGCCGAGGCGCAAGATCTCGTCAAGGATCTTGGGCCGGCGGACGTCCCATGATGTGACCTCCTCGCCAAGCGCAGCATACCGCTTTCCGATGTGCACCTGCGCCAACACGTTGTACGACATGACCGACATGACTCTCTCCATGGCCTCCTTCTTACTCACACCCTCCAGACGTGTGGCGGCCACCTCTGCCGCTGCCCGGCGGATTTGCGGCAGCTCTGGCCCTTGCTCTGCCTCTAGACTTGCAATGTTCTCCAAACAAAAACTCCGTCCGCTCGCCATTGTTCTCTGCAGGTAACGGTAATGTTGGCCTTGGAGGAGGGAGGGGGAGGGGGAGGGGGGGGGGATGCAGCTGTAGTTTACCTATGGCCTCGTTCATTGTGGGCCATTTGTCGCTCCCGTTTTGTCACCGCCCATCGCTTCCATTGGCCGACTTCAATCGAACTTTCCGATGGTGGCACTTGCTCTTCTTGCTGCCGGCAATGATGACTCTGCTGACATTGATGGCAGACGGTGACGATCATTGCTGACTGCCATGAAGAGTGGGTGGGCGGCCATCGTCATGACTAGGGCCATCGCCATGACTAGGGCCATCGTCTTAAGGACTAGGGCCATCGCCTACATGGCTAGGACCATCGTCCTCATGGCTAGGACCATCGTCCTCATGGCTAGGTCTGTAGGAGGGGGTGATGATCTCAGTTGAGCGTGGTGAGGGGCTGTCAGCTGGTTCGCTAGTGGGCTGTCAGCACCGTCCCCCACTCCTCCCGCCATGACTGCTGTTCCTACCCACCTACCCATCGACGTGGCGGCGCTGCTGAGAGCGCGGGCGGCGACGGCGGCAGAGTGGGCTGCCCGGGGCGGCCCTCCGGTCTGCTACCGCTTCCCGGACATGAGCCTCTGCGGTTGCACCGTGCCGTGCCGGACCGCAGTCCGCTCGGCCCGTCTGCATCCGGTGGCCGGCCACGTTGTGGTGGGCTCCATCGAGACGGCAGTGGACGTGCCGCGGTTGCTGGCCAATGGAGTGACCCATGTGCTGGATGTGTCAAACACGCCGTACGCCCGGGCGGACGGCGCCTTTGTGGTCGAGATCGTTGATCTGGACGACACGGCCGACGCGCCTCTGGCGGCCGCCATCCCGCGGGCGCTGGCCTTTATCGACGCTGCTGGTGCGCTGGTTCTCCCCGATGGGACTCGTGGCAAGGTATTGGTCCACTGCAGGGCTGGCGCGTCGCGCTCGGTTGCGTTTTGCATGGCGTATCTCATGGCTCGCCACGGACTGAGCCTCGATGCCGCCCTCGCTCATCTGCGCCTAGTCCGCGGGCCGATGGCCTCGCCCAACGCCGGCTTTCTAGCGCAGCTCACGGCGTGGGCAGCAACGCTGCCGGAACCTGCGCTTCGGGGGCTCCCCATTCCGGACGAGGTCATGGTGCGGATCCTGGCGTATGCAGCACCGAGTGCCGACGCTGCACTGGCGCTTGCCCACGTTTCTCCGCGCTTTGCAGCTCTTGTCCAGAGCAACCAAGTGTGGCAGCCGATTTTCTGCAGCCGGTTTAAGTTTGGCGCCCTTAACACATGCCCGTCGGTGACCGGCTCGTGGGCGGCGGCCTACGGCGAGCGCATGGCCTCGGGTCCGGGCAGCGAGCCGTCGTGTTCCAGCAAACTCGCAGCGCTGGTCCAAATGGTGGCGGCTGACCAGACACCTGACGATGTCGACGTGTCTGGCATCGACGACGCGCCACTGGCGTCGTCACTGGCTGACCTTCCAGCCGGCACAGCGGCTGCGCCAGCCCAACGCCAGCGACCGGCACCGCGCAAGCCGTGGGAGCGCGCCGCAGACGGGTCATGACTGGGTGTCGGCGTCGAGGTCAGCCTTGAGCTTAGCAAAAGTGTTGTCTACAGTGTCGAGGCGCGCTGCGGCTTCCTCAAGCTCGCGACCCTGCGAGGTGACAAACTTGGCGTACGGCGCGAGTGCGGCGCGGATCTCGCCGTCGGTGGCGTGGAGCTCGTTGCGGAACGTGGCCTCGAGGGAGTCGTTGAGCTTGACGCGCAGCTCCTCGATGCGCTCGTGGAGCTCAGCGCGGAGCTGCCGCTTACGATAGGGCAAGATGTAGAGACCCGAAGCAGCGAGGACGCCAAGGAGGAGCGTCCCGGTAATGTCGGTCATGGCCACTACCAGCGCCGTCGAGAGCCCGAGCGCGCCGGTGGTGCCGAGCGCAGAGACCATGGCGGAACGGAGGGAGTCGGCGAGCTTGGCAGCCTCTGCCTTTTTGTCGAAAGACGTCACTACCGACGCAGCCTGGGAGCCGATGTGGTCGAGGAGCTGCGAGCGCCGCGAAACGTCGACTGCCCCCAGCTGCTGGACCAAAACGTTGCGAGCGTCGGCGAGGTCAGCGTCGTCGTCGTCGGCCTGCGGGCTATTCTGGGTGGCGGTGGTGAGGATGCGGTGGACTCGCGCCCACTGATCATTGTTGCGCTCAACAAACCAGTCGATAAACTCGTTGACGTGCTCTTCCATCTGGTAGGAGAGATCCTTCACCACGTCGCGCTCAAACGATGCCTTGAGTTCGGCGGCGGAGAAGAGGGCGCGAAAGTTGGTGAGCGTCAGCTGCTCGTCAAAGAACTCATCGCCGCGCTCCGCAAGTCGGTACAAAACCGAGTCAATGCGATCGAGCTGTGCCTTGAGCGAGGCCTGCATGCCGGCCTGGGTCTTGGCGAGCTCGGCGTCGACGGCCTGCAGCGCGGTGTAGTCGCCGGCGAGGAGCGCGAGGCGGGCGTCAACAACCTGCGAGTACTTACGAGCCAGATGGCTCGCAGTGCCGAGTGGAGAGGCAAGCTTGAGTCGAATACGAGCGTCAGACGAGAGTTGGGAGACAATAAAGGCCTCGAGGTCGTCAAAGCCGGTTCCGTCGAGCGGCGTGCCGGCAAGCTTGGCCTTGAGCGCGCCACGGGCCGAGACAAACTGGACACGCGGAGCGGCGCCGCCGAGCACCTCAGCGGCGTTGCGGGTGACAAAGTCGGCCACAGTGGCACGCTCGGTCGGGTCGGTCACCACGTCGGCCTTGTTCAACACAATCATGGTCTTCTTGCCATGGTCGGCAATCGAGGCCAGAAACTCGCGCTCAGAGGCCGAGAACGGCGAATAGGCCGAGGTGAGGAAAAGCACTAGGTCTGCTCGCGGAACAAAATGCTGAGTGATGCGCTCATGCTCGCGGATGACTGCGTTGGTTCCGGGCGTGTCGACAAGATTAACGTGACGGAGCCACGGGATGGGCAGCGGGAGCCGCTTCACGCTCCCCGCCGCTGCCGCATGAACAGCCGCGCTGGGAGCGTTCTCCTCGCTCCCGCCGTAGTGAATGACCGTGACCTCGGCCGTGGTCGGAGTCACGCCCATCGCCGCGTGCTTCCCGCCGAGCAGGGCGTTGACAAAGGTCGACTTGCCCGCGTTGAACTCGCCGACGACCACAGCCAGGAAGGGAGAACGGAGAGCAGCAACAGCAGCATCGATCAGCTCGCGATCGTCCTTGGGCCCGTCGAGCACTGCCACTACATCGCCCAGCTCTGCCAGAGCCTGCTCTTCCTTGACCAGCACCGCCTCCTGCTCCTGACTCAGTGCCACATTGGTGTCCAGCGCGTCCAGCGTCGCCGCCCTTTGCCCGCAGCGAGCCCACCCCAGTGAGAAAGCAGCAGTCTTCCGGCATGCACCCCACCGGGCCAGTCCGTGCACCCGCAGCCGCAGCATGATCTCTGTCTGCGTGAGGAGGAGAAGGAGGGAGGGAGGGAGGGAGAGGGGTGTGGTGTAGGCTGTGGGCTCCGTGGGTGCTGTGGACGCTGTGGGCTGTGGGCTGACGCGACGGAGAGAGAAGGGGGGGGGAGGGCGATGGACGATGGGGGGGGAGGGGGCGTGCGATGAGCGATTGGGGCGTGCGGGGGGGCGGGGGGGGAGGAGGAAGGGAGGGAGGGAGGGGGGGGGAGCGGCGCGGACGGTGGGCGATGGGCATGGGGCGTGCGATGGCGACGGGCAGGGGCGATGGCTGTTGGACGATAGCACACTCACTTGTCGCCGTAAGGGTTGGGTACATCCATCGGATCAGATGCCGAAGAAGACCAAGGTTGCAAGCAAGCGAAAGGCGCGTGCGGCTGCTGCTGGGCCTGTGGCGGGCAGTGGTGCCGGCGAAGATGGCGCAGGTAGAGGAGCCGGTACGGGCAGCGGAGGCGGTGGCGGGGCGAGCAGCAGCTGCAGCAGCAGCAAGAAGAAGAAGAAGAAGAAGAAGCGGAAGACGGCCGGGACACCCATTACCGGTGGCGGAGTGCGGTCGCGGAGGCAAGCGCGGGCATTGACCTCTGCCTTTCATGAGCTGAGCCATGAGCTGGAGGCTCTGCGTGCCCGGGCGGGGCGTGGCGAGGGCGAGGCTGTGGCTGGGCGGATGGCTGAGGTGGAGGCCAAGCTGGCGGCCATGGGCGGGCGGAAGGCGTACCAGGATGCATCGATCCTCTCAACCTCCATCTACTCGACCTCCAAATGGGTCTTTCAGATTGTCACCCGTATGGGTCGCCGTCCGAGCTCGGGCGAGCCACCGTTGCGGGTTCTCGAGGTCGGGGCCATCAACACCAAGCTGTTGGTCACGCCCTGGCTCGACGTCCTCGCCATCGATCTCCTCGCCCGGGCTCCGGGTATCACCCAGATGGACTTTTTTGACGTGCGGCCTGAGCCCATCTACGATGTCGTGGTCTGTGCTATGGTCCTCAACTGTCTGCCCACGCCCCGCGCTCGCGGCCTCATGCTCGTCAACCTGGCTGCCCTCCTCAAGCCGCGCGGTCTGCTGTTCATCATGCTCCCGCGGCTCTGCTTCCGCACTGCATACATGGATCAGTCGACGTTTGAAGCCATCTTGTCCAAGCTCGGCTTTGTCATTCGCCACAACAAGTTCTCGCCCAAGCTTGCCCACTACGCGCTCACCTTTCGCAACCCTGCGGCTGCCGACGCCGCCAGCGCCGAGAACCGCGCCGCCACTCTTGCTGCGCTCGCCGAGGCCTTTCCATCCTCGCCGCCCACTGAGGGCAAGGGATCGAAGGACTTTGCCCTCGTTTTTGACCCGGACGTCGTAGCGTAGCCACCGGTGCATCATGACGCGGCTAGCGGCGGCGTCTCGGTCTGCAAAACGATAAAGGTGCGTAGGCCAGAACTGAGGATGGTGGCGCTTCACCGGGTGTGGCCCTCGGGATCGTCGATCGAGGCGCCAGGAGTAGATGCAGAAGAGGGGGGGAGCATGAGGCGAGCCTCCATGCTGTCCGCCGCGGACGGCGCGAGCCGAATCTGTGGCCAGAGTGATACGAGTTTGAGAAGTGAAGAAGCAGGGATGGAAGCCAAGTTCATTCGCTCGCTGGTCATCGCCAACACGATGGCGCGTTTGTTGTCCCTTGGACCGCGCTGCCTACTTGATGGCGCGCTTTTTGTCAGCCTGGCGGCGCCGATGGTTGCGACGGTTGGTCTGCTGCCTCCGGGCGGTTCTTTGGCTCGGCGCTGTGCCCTCACCTTGGCCTTGACCCTTGCCGTTGCCCTTTCCCTTGCCGTTGCCCTTGCCGTTGCTGTTGCCCTTGCCCTTGCCCTGACCCTGACCTTGACTCTGGCCGTTGCCTTTGCCCTTGCCCTGACCCTGGCCCTGATTCTGACCCTGACCCTTGTTGCTGTTGCCCTTGCCCTTGCCCTGACCCTGGCCTTGGCCGTTGCCTTTGCCCTTGCCCTGACCCTGGCCCTGATTCTGGCCCTTACCCTTGTTGCTGTTGCCCTTGCCCTTGCCCTGACCCTGACCTTGGCCCTTGGCCTTGCTCGATCCCTGGCCACGACCACGCCGCCCACCATCTGGAGGCGACGACGGCCGGCCGGCACCAACGCGCTCCGAGTCCACCGTGCCGCCATCGGCGACATGGAACTTGGTGACAGAGAGCTGGTCAAACGAGTCGTCGTACTCGTCGTTGTACAAATCTTGCAGCGCATCGACTCGTGTCATGGCCACGATTCGCGCCCGCAGGTCGTCGTCGAGGCCTTCGTCGTCGCTCTGGCTCCCACCGTGCTTGCCCGAGTACAGCTTGCCGTACTGGAGCTCCTCCCAGTCAAACACATTGCGTCGTGCGCCAGTATCGTCATCGCCGTCGCCCGACGGGCCGGCAGCATCGCTGTCGTCGCCGCCGCCAGACGGCCCACCGTGCTCGGCGGCAAACGCATCGAGCCCGTCCATGCCCATGCTCCGCTCGAGCTCGTCAAGCGCCGGCGGGAGCGTGCCCTCCAGCAAGGCGTCGATCACCGCGGACGCCTGCCCACCGTACGTCGAGAGGCAGGCCGAGACAAAGCCCTCGCCCAGTTCGGGGAAGATCGCCCGCACTTCTTCGATGCTCTTGGTGTCAAGGTGGGCAAATGCAGTCTGCCCACCATGCCCAGGCGTCCGCCGCGAGCTCGGCGTCTTGGGCGGGCCAGGCCATGCTGGCGACGCTTCGATGTAGTTGGGATTCTGCGACGCTGCTGCCGACGCCACAAGGTCGGCCATCGACGCCCACGCCGCCGCCACCTCGACTTCCTTCTCCCATGCCTCAGCCACACGGACCAGACTCCACGAAAGCAAATACTTGCGCTCAACCGCACTGAGCAAGTCCAGGTACGCCTCCACAAAGTGGCCCACAAGGCGCCGGAAGCTCGCTTCGACGCCAGCGAGCCCGCCGCGCTTCGACGCCGTCGACGACAGCCGCCGCTTGAGGAGGACGTCGAGGAACTCACGCTCAAACACGCAGTGCAAAATGTGAAGGATGGACGTCCGCACATGGTCCAGCGCAAGGTCCAGCCGCAGGTTTGACGGCGAGCCACCAGTCACACTCGCCGCCGCGGCCTCTAGCGGCGAGAGAGCCTGCGTGTACAGTGCGGCGAGCTCGGTGATGAGCTCGTGATGCTCCCCGAGTGCTGCTGAGAACAGCGGCGACGCGTCCTGCAGCGCAGCCAGTGAGCCGACTGTGTCAGCCACAAACCGCAGCGTGTCAATCGCATCTGCGCCGGCGGCGCTCAGTCCGCGCGCACGCGCATCCTCCAGCGCCCCGCAGATGGCCACTGTCGCGCCGAGCCAGTCGTCCAGGTACGCCGGCTGCTCGTTGATGACCGCGCCCACAAGTCGTGCCACAAAATCCCTGTTGCGCGGCCCGTACACCGCCGCAATATCCAACAGCTTGGGCACGTCAAACACCCAGTTCTCGTAGAGCGTGTCAGCAAAGGCGCCCGCTGAAAAGAATGCCGTCTCGCTCTCTTTCCGCGTCGACATACGCAGTAGCGTTGCTGCCATCGCCCGGAAGACCCGCTCCTCCGCTGCTGCCGTCTCGGCGTCGCCGCCAGCAAGCACCAAGGCTCCGTTGGCGTCGGGCGCCGCTGCACCCGACACAAAGAACACATCCCACGCCCGCGGCGCAAAGCGCAGGAACGTGTCAACCGCCTCCTTCAGCTTGGGATCCAATAGCACGTGGCACCAAAACTCGCGATGCGGGGCCTTGAGCAGGGCCTCCACATCATCTGCCAGCACCTCGAGTACCGCCGTCCGATCCGGATCGGCCGCCCCATCGGCAGGTGCCGGCAGATACGGCGCAAACTCCAAGTCTTCGATGAGCCAGCGCGGATCAATGGCCGCAACCTTGATAAAGTCGGCCTTGTTCTCCGCTACCACCAACGCGTATGCGCTCTCCAGCGAGGCCGGCGCCTCCGCCCTTGCAGCCTCATCGTCGGCCAGTACGCCCAGAACATACTTACGGAGCTCGACCTTGGACAGCGCTCTGCGCTCCCTGAGCTCGTCCCTGTACAGCCGCACCATAGCCCCGACAGGCGTTGCTGCAATTCGCATCTGCAAGCTCATTTCCTCCTCATCACCCTCGCCCTTGTTGCTCCCAGCCTTGCTCCCCCCACCGCCTCCACCGCCACCGCCTCCGCCTCCGCCAGCTGCTGCCCGTGCCTTTCGCCGCTCTTGCGCAGCCGAAAACCGCTCCTTGTTCTTGGCCCTCGAGGAGCCCTTGTTCGCCCGTGGCATGTCACAACCGCAGTCGAGTGTGACCACGCCCGTCTGGAAGGGGGAGCCGTGTCCCCCCCCCCCTCCCCCCCTCTCTTGGTCGCCGTCTCCGCTAGAGTCGATTAGAGCCTTCGCTGCCGCCGACCGACCGGCAGACGGCCGATGTCGGTCGCAGCACACTCTCGCCCATCCCCCTCAGGACGGTCATTCTCCACCACATGCTACTGCGCATTGATCGCATTGATTGTCCGAGGGAGGATAAAGGAGTTGTACTTGGGGGGTGCTGACAGAGGTATATGAAGGGTGATTATGTAGAAATGCTCCCGATACCGATCCCCACAACCATCAGCTCAGTCCTCCCCTCCCCTCCCCTCCCTCCATCCCCTCCCCGATCCTCCTTTCGTACCATCTGCCCCTCTTCCGATCTCCTAATCCCTTGATCTGTTGCCCACCTTTCCTGCTGCAGGCCCACTCAACCGCCACCAAATGGAATCTTCTTTCCCTGGCAGCAGCAGCCACCACATCGCTCCATAGCAATAGGCCACAGCTACCATGGCGTCATCGTCGTCTACATCCCCCGACAGTTTATCTCCCTCGCCGCCCAACATACCGACAACTCCGTTCACTGTCCATCTCCCGCCGGCCTCGGGGAAGTCTACCAAGACAAAGGCAATGACGGTCGCTCCAGATCATCTGCTGCTCGTCGTGGTCACGGATCGGGCTACAGCGAAGAAGAAGAAGCAAGGAAGGCAGTGGGTGGTTGATCTGCGCCGTGATGTCCCTGAGGTGATGACTCTAGATGATGTCAAGAGCAAGTTTCTGACCATTGGAGATGGTGATGATGTGCTGGGTGGCGGTCTTACCGTCGTGCCTGTTGGCTGCGAGGAGGTGACCCTTTTCTTGCTGCTCAACCCGATCCTCGCCCGTCTTGCCCGGATAGCCATCGTTGTCGCCCATAGCATTCCGTATAGCACCATAATGCGACTTGTCAGAGATAGAGCGGTGGCTCATCTGCCGCGGATCCTCAATACGCCGCGGTCGTTGCAGAGCTTCGAGTCCATCGAGTCGCTGTATTTGTTCAAGAACTGTGACCACATCGGAACGGCCATCCGTGGCGCGCTCACCGAGATTAAGGGTCGACTTGCTGCTGCTAACCAAGCTTCGCTCGCCCTCGCCTCACCGCCACCCCCCTGTGGCACTGATGACGCTTTGTCGGCCTGGGCCGAGCTGCCTGACGAACTCATCCTCACCATTCTCAGCAAGCTGACAATTTTCGACTGTCTGCGGGCCCGTGAGGTATGCAAGAGCTGGGCGCGAGTCGGCACCGATGCCTCGCTCTATCGGCGCCTGCGCCTTGTTGACATCGCAGCAGTCTGTGGCGAGCCAGCCGACTCGGTGCTTCTGGGCAAGGTCCTTGCCGTGCCGCTTGTCTCACGGCACATCCGCCGTCTTGATCTCTCCTCCTCGTCCGTGGACGTGGAGGGCCTTGACATCCTGCGGTTCCGTGCCAATAAGCTCAAGTACCTGGATACTTCCGGGTGCGACTTTACCAGGAGGAGGTTGAAATCAGGTTGGTTGAAAGCCATGTCCTCGCTCGAGGTGCTGGACGCCTCGGGTTTTGGCAACTTGTGCTACGACTTTCCCGATGTTGCGGGCGTCGACCTCGTCGGCACCAATCAGATTGCTCCTGGTCACTTTATCAGCATCGACGGCGCGCTTCACATTGTCTTCAACATCGAGGTCGTTTCCAGGCAACGTCATCCACTCTGCATCCTGACCTCCGCCGACGTCACCACGGGTCATCCGTCACCTCTTCTCGTTATGACCCAAAAGGCTGCCCGCGAGCTCAACGTCTTTGCTGTCTCCAACTCCTCGTACGACGTCGTCGACGTCAAGCGGTACCCACTCCTCCGCGATCCCACCACCGGCACCACCCGATCAGACGTCTGGGCGTCAGACGATCTCCTTGCCGAGCTCCATTCCGGCGAGCGCCAAGTTCGGGTCTTTGAGTATGCGGGCAAAGCATACATGATGGTGTGGTTCGGCTTGTAGCTTCCGTCGTTCCCGCCACCTTTCATCCCCAGCACATCCACCGATGAAACCTCCAATGAGCCGCCGCCGCCGCCTAGTCGAGCCCGGCGAGCCCGAGCGACGCGCGCCGTCCATGACCTCAGCTTCGGCCTGCGCCTCAACCTCAGTCACCCCACCACTTCCCCCCCCCCCCCCCCCCCCCCACCGCCATGACCTCCACCCCCACTGGGGCAGCGCTCACGGGAGCTACGCTGCTTGTCGGGGTGCAGGCCGGCTCTCGACTGGCTTCTTTTGTGCTCAACCAGTTAGTGGTGGCTCGCATGGCGCCCGAGGCCTACGGCCTGGCGGCCGTCTCGCTCCAGCTCGCTCTCTCCACCGTTCTCTTTCTGGCTCGCGAGCCGCTGCGTCGCGCGGCGCTGCGCATGGCGGCTGCTCCGGCTGATGCCCGCGCTCTGGCTGCATGGGGTCTTCCTATCGGCCTTGTTCTCGCCGCCTGCCTCGCGGCTCACTCGCTCATCCTTGCTCCCGATCCAGCCGCCGCTGCTGTTCCGGGCGCGGCGTCCGCGCTCGGGCTCACTCTTGCCGCCGCCGCGGTCGAGCTAGCTGCCGAGCCGCTGTACGTTGCGGTCTTGTTGGAGGCTCGCTACGTAGTCCGCGCCCAGATTGAAGCTGTCGGTGTCCTCCTCCGCTGCATCGTTACCTACGCCGGCGTCGTCGCTGCCGGCGCTGGCGTCGTCTCGTTTGCCCTGGGCCACCTCGCGTACGCCGGCGTCGTCCTGGTTGGCTACCTTATGGCGGGATCTGGCTTTGCGCTGAGTGAGGCCATTCCGCGCGCAGGCCCGCTAGTGCGGCACAGTCCGTTGGTCTCGGCGCTCGCCGCACAAACGGTGCTCAAGTACGCGCTCACCTACGGCGAATCGATCATCCTTGTGGCCGTCCAGTCGCTGTACGATCAGGGCGTTTTTGCGCTTGTGAACAACCTTGGCTCTCTTGTGGCACGTGTCATCTTCCAACCTGTTGAGGAGACGGCGCTCAACGCATTCTCGCTTGCCGGGCGTGATCGCAATTCGACCGCACGCTATGGCCTGCTCACCGTGCTTTGCAAGGGCATGGTGAGCATCGGACTTTTGTTTGCCACCTTTGGCCCGCCCTACGCCCACCTCCTCCTTGAACTCCTCTACGGAACGCGGTGGGTAGCCACCGACGCGCCGGCCATCCTCGCCTGGTACTCGCTGTATGTCGGGTTCATGGCGCTCAACGGCGTGACCGAAGCCTACCTCCACGGCTGCGCGTCCAAGGCCGGCTTGGCGCGTCTCAACTGGATGCTGCTGGTCTTCTCGGTTGCGTACATCATCGCTGGACTTGCTGGCACCACCTATGCTGGCACTGTCGGGCTCATTGCCGCCAACATGTTCAATATGGCCCAGCGCATCACGTACTCGCTCTACGCCATCTATGTCACGCTTCCCAACGATGGCGTGCCGCTGCCGACTGGCGCGGCGCTGTGGGACCTTGTTCCAAGCCCGCCGGTCTGGGCAGCGTTTGGCGTTGCTGCCGCCGCCGCCCATGGCTCGGCCGCCGCGTGGGTCAAGCTCGACTCCGATGGCTGCTACGGATCGTGGACGCAGCGTGCGGTCCATGTTGCACCAGGCGTGCTCGGTCTTCTTGTTGTTGCTGCCGCCTTTGTGGCCTGCGAGCGCGAGCTTGTCCCGGCGCTCAAGCGGCTGATCAAGTTGCGGCGCGGTGGCAAAACGGAGTGATTGCCTGCTTTATCCGAGGTGTCTATGCGTAGCTGAAGAGGCCGAGGGCATCGCCGTAGAAGCCGTTAAAGTCAAAGGTAGCAAAGAGAGCGGCTAGGTGCTTCTCGGTTCCCGAGAGGAGGTTAATGGTCTGCAGGAAGAGGCGCATGTGGTAGCCAAAGTTCTCCTCAAACTTGGCGAGCGTCCGGTGGTACTTGTCGTCGAGCACTGTGGCTGTGGTATCGACAGCGGCGGCGGCGTGCTCGCGACGCACGGCAAGCGCTTGGGCGATAGCGGCCTCTTCTTCGAGACCCTCCACAGCAGAGTCGACGAGGCCCGGCGGGATGACAAAGATCGAGTCGCCGTCAAGCGAGAGCGTCGCTGACAGGTGGGCTGTGTAGTCAACAAAGATGGAGCAGGTCGACATAAGCTTGGTGAGGAGTTTGAGCAGCTCCGGGTGGGTGAGGAGGCACTCTTTGAGCGCGGCGTTGAGGAATGCCTCATGGGCGGTGACCACGTCGGCCAGCGAGGTGGCCCCCGCCAGCGTTGCTGTCAACTGCGCCCACGCCGGCTCGAGGACCTGGTAGAACATGTAGTTGCTGAACGACGAGACAAAGTGCAGCATCTTGGAGCGCAGCGCGTACGCACGCTTAAAGTAAGCCTGCACGTGGGCGGTCTTGGTCAGCTTGTGGATGGCCCACGCTGCCGACATGGCTTTGCACACCCGCGTTGACTTGATGAGGTGCCTGTTGAGCAGCCGGTACTTGGTCAGCGCGGCCGACGAGATGACCAGGTTGAGCGGCCACTCGACGACAAAGTCAAAGGCAAAGGCTTCAAAGCCAGTAAGCTCACCAGCGCCGGCCTTGGCACCGGCGCTCGAGCCTGACGGAAGGCCTGCTGTGTTGATGTGTGCGAGCTCAGACGCAATTGAGGTGTGAACGAGCCGGAGGCCGAGCTCGTCCTTGTGCTCGTCGCCGCGGGCCGACGTGCTCCGGACTGCAAGCTCAAGGAGCGCCTCGAGCTTCTCGATGTCGACAGCCGACGCCGGACGAGCGAGCTCGTCAGCGGCGATCTCGAAAAAGTGTGGGAGCACGTCGCCCTGCGAGAGCAGAAAGTACCGCTTGATGGAGCCAAGGCGGTCGAGGAGAGCGTGCTTGCGCATGAGCACATCGATGAGCAGCGCAGCTGCACGTGCGTGCGCATGCTCAATCGTCTTGGCGTACTCGCGCTCGTTGGATGCGTACGCCACAGCCGCTTCGCCGGCCGGCAGCAGGGTCTCGGACGGAATAGGCAGCCCGCACCCCGCAATGACGTTGAGATACTTGCCGGTGGTGAGGATGGTGGCAGCGTGCGGCGCCAGAAAGCGCGGCACAGCCTTGGCCTCGCGCAGTGTGTAACGCTCGCTCCAGTACGAGTCCGAGAGCGCCGGCAGACCAAGATCCTTGGCCATGTCGGGGTGCTCGACAACCATAAACTCTGCGTACGGGTCGACGACCGAACCGGCGGTGACCCAGGCCGTGAGCGCCGAAAAGTACGGCACCGACGCTGCCGAGAGCAGGTGCTCGATGAGCGCACGCTTTGGCGAGTCACCGGCCGAGACCTCAAGCGCCTCGTGTAGGAGTGAGAGGAGCGAGCCGCCGCGAGCGCCCTGGTCGCGGATCGAGCGCGCGAGCGTCGCCAGTGCGGTAACGGTTGAGAGCGACGGCTGAACGAAAAACCACATCTTCTGCAGGTTGAGCTGGCCGAGCCCAAACTGGGTCTCTAGCTGCGCCACAACAATGAGGTACTCGTTGAGAAGCTCGCGAACTGCGGCGCAGAGAGCGTGCGAGACCAGGCCAGCCTCGTACCGCGACCCGGTCTCCACAAACGCGGTCACGGCCGAGTACGCAGACGCCAGCGGCAGGATGCGGCCGAGCAAGTCAGCAATCGACGCATCGACGTCAGCCGACGATGCCAGCTGGAAGACCAGGCCATCTGCCGAGGGGAACGCTCGGATGTGCTCAGACTCGATGCCCATCAGCGCGTACAGCGCCTCCTCTACCAGCTGGTATTCTTGCGACGCCCGGCCGATGTGCAGCATCGACGGTGCCTCGGGCTCCACTCCTGTTGCCGACCGCACTACATACGTCCCGCGGACGGCCGGAGCAGCCAGTCGGGCTGAGGCGGAACAGCGGCCACCAACTCGTCACCGGTCGCCCGCTCGCTCCGGCATCATGCGCTGCAGTCACGCTGGGCTTATTCACCAGCGCCTCCACCACCGGCAGCCTTGGCGCGGGCTTGCCACTCTTTCCTGCCAGTGCCTCCACCGATGGCAGGCGCGCTGATGCTGCCCGCACTCGCTCCTGCAGCGCCGCGAGCTCGTCAAGGGCTCCGGGGCCTGGCGGCGGGGCCGACGACCCGGGCGGCTGGACTCGTGCGGAGTAGCCATGGCAGCGAATGTGTATGTATGTATGTATGTATGTATGTATGTATGTATGTGTGATGTGTGAATGTATGGGGAGAAGGAGAGGGAGAGAGCGGTGTGTGTGTGTGTGTGTGTGTGTGTGTGTGTGGTGGTGGTGGCGGTCTTGGTGTGGTGGTTCAGTCCCAACTTGGCGCCAACTCGCGCCAAGTCGCGTAGGTGGTGCGAGTGCGCGCCGAACTTGCAGCTGTCAGGGAGGGCACGTTTGGGTGGGCGCCCATGTACCGACACGGTTGTGGGAGACGAGGGAATAGTAAATGACACTGGTTTACACTACAGCCAGCGATGGCTGAGAAGGGCTGGGTGGTGCTCCTTGGCGACGATGAGGCCAAAGGAGAGGATGACACCGAGCGAGCCAACAAGGAATGGCCACGAGTACGAGGCGCCGTGGAGGACGGCGTCAAGGACGAGCGAGCCCGGAACAGTGAGAGTGATGCCAACAGCAACGTAGGTCGGAGAGGGGAGAAGAGCAATCGAGGTCATGAGCGAGACGATAAAGACGGCGAGCATGGCAGACATGATGACAAAGTTGGGCCACTTGTCAGCAACCGGCAGGTGCCACTCCTCCAAGCCAGTCCAGTCAAGAAGCGGGATGAAAGGGGCAAGGCCCAGAGTGTTGCCCACACCCATAAGGCCGGCGACGATAATGACCATCGGCAGCGGATCGTTCTCGCCAGTCACCAGGCCAAACCGCTTGTAGACGACCTCGTAGAGGCCGTAGAGGACAGCACCAAGGAAGGCAAACAGGCCGCCAAGAACCGGATTCGATGGCTTGGACGACGAGGTGTCGGAGTTTGAGCCATGAGACGGTGCAATGTTGTCAGCAAACGAGACCATGGCCGAGGAGGCGACAGCGAGGATGGCGGCGCCAAACTTGATGAGCGACGGGCGCTCGCCGAGGAGAAAGATGGAGAAGAGGACAACAAAGGCGGTCGACGAGTTGAAGATGGTGGTGGCGGCAGCGACCGAGGTCATGGAGAGCGACGAGAACCAGAAGATGTCCGGCACCATGTAAGCGCCGGCGAGCCAGAAGCCACGCCAAGCCATCTGGCCCCAGGTCAGCTTCCAGGCCACGCGGAACTCGCCAAACGAGCTCCACTCAAAATCCTTGCCATGGACAGGATGCGGGAGGGTCCGCCAGTGCTCCTTGTAGCGGAGCATAAACCATCCGACAGGCAGGAAAAGAGCCGGGAAGACATGGCCGAACCAAACGATAAAAAGTATGACTTGTAGGCATTGTCGCCAGTCTCCACAGCACGTGATGCCTCTGCACCAAGGAGCCACGAGACAATGGCGGCGAGGAGGGCGGTGTAGCCAAGGATCTGCATCCACATCGACTGCTTGGGGCGGTCTTCCACATGTGGGATGCCATTCACAGAGTTGAGCTGAACATCCTCCACAATGCTCTTGCGTTGGACAGAGCCGAGGAGCGCCGCCTCTTCATCATAGGTGGCGGGTGGCTGATTGAATTGGCCGTGTGCTGCCGAGCCGGGCCCGCTCGTGACTCCGCTCCTTGGCGTGCTTGCTGGACTCTGCGAAGTTGTTGACATTGAATTTGAGGTGTTTGTAGACTCCCTTGACATCAATAGTGATGGTCCTTGCTGTTGTCAAGTGTTGCTTCTCATCCCTTGTTTCCTATACCCTCCGCTGCCGCCGTCTTTCTCCCTCCGTAATATCCGCTCAATGAATGCCAATGTTCACCCTGCGTCACAGGCCGTCATCACGAGGTGGCCAAATCGTGGTCACTGGCACACAAGTGTGTGCCGTGCCAACGTGGCGCCACGCACTCATCCTTCGTCTGCCAGAGCAGACAAACACAAACACCCCATACACACCCACACACCCACGCACGGTCGACCCGTCACGTTCTGGGAGTGGTACACTACCACCGCTCTCATTCCAGGCGATAACTATTTCCATCAACATGGCCTTTCGTTTTCTTGCTCGCAATCAGCCCGCAGCGCGGCTGCTCTCGCCAGAACGTCTCGGCGGCCTCCGTGTGGCGGCGTTGTCGGCGTCTGCCGGCCGCTCGGCGGCAGCCCATCGCGAGGTGATGAAGTTTGGCGGCGCGTCGCTCGGCTCGGCCGATGCGGTTCACCGAGTGGCGATGCTGGTGGCTGCCAAGGCGTCGGGTGCGGCGGCGGCTGGCAGTGGTGATGAGATCGGCGTTGTGCTTTCGGCCATGTATGGCGTAGCCGAGGCGCTCGCCGAAGCATCGACGGCGGCTCGAACCAGGAACTTTGTCCTGCTCCGCAAGCTCCGCAACCAGATCGTGGCCGGCCACCTTGAGACTATCGATGCGCTGTTTGCCCCGCCGGCGATGGGAGCGACCCGCGTTCATGCTCAGGGCGAGTCGCCGAACGCGGCGCTTGATCTGCAGTCCCCGGCGGCGCGGATGGGTCGGACCGAGCTTGACGCTCTGCGGACAACGCTGCGGTCTGAGGTCGAGCAACTGATGGAGCGCGACTTTGACACTCCAGTGGGAGCCCTGTTCAAGGAGTCGTTTGAGACGCCGGGCGATGCCCCGGCCGTCAAGGCACAGCTCGATCGGATGCAGTCGCTCGGCGAGCGACTCTCGTGCCTCATCTTTGAAAAGTACCTCATCGCGATGGGGACTTCGGCTGTGCTTGCGGACCCGACAGGTCTCATCCGGACCAACGGCAAGTACGGCGCAGCGCTGCCGGATCTTGAGGCGTCGGCGGCGCTCATCCAGGCGCAGCTCGACTCGGTGCTGGCCGCCGGCTCGGTGGCGGTGGTGCCGGGCTTGTACGGCGGAGCAGTGGACAACCCGGCAGCGATCACGACATTCAATCGTGGTGGCTCGGATCTAACGGCGACGCTCCTCGGCCGTGGCCTCGGCGCCGATGAGGTCTCGCTGTGGAGGGTCGAACCGGTTCAGGAGGCCGAGAGCGGGGCGTTTGTCGATTGGGCTCCGGGCTCTGTCGGCGTTGTCCACGACGGCGACGCAAAGACGACCATCCCGGTCCTCACGTACAACGAGGCAGAAGTCCTTACCCGTTATGGCAAGGAGATTGTCGACCCGCAGATTGTTTCGCCGATCGAGGCCAAGGAGATCCCGATCCGGATCCGCAACACGCTGGAGCCCGCGCGCGAAGGCACGACCATTGTTGCGGCCGACGACAAGCCGGCGGCAGCGGCAGCGGCGACCACGGTTGTCCGGGTCCGCAATCGCGGCGCACTGGACGCGTCGGCGGCTGCCGCTCTCCCGCCGTCGCGCGAGGTCATTGCTGTCGTCGGCGACGACATCCGCGCCTCGCTCCAGGATGCTCAGACCGATGTGGCCGATCTCGTTGCGTCGGTCGACTCACGGCTCGGAGACGGGGCGGAGCTTTCTGCCGAGTGGACGCTCGATGCCTCGCCACACGCCATCCCGCTCACGGTAGAGGCCTCTAAGGCTAATGACGCCATCGCGGCCCTCACAGCCACCCTTGCCGGCGTCAACACCGGCGCCCTGACGTCCATCAATGTCACTCCCGAGCCTCTTACCGCCAGCCAGCCGACGCTTTGACGCTTTCGGCCAGCACCACCAGCCGACCGTGGATGAGACCACATCATTGAACCTTTTGGCTTGACGAGGGGACGGAGATCGCAGCGGCTGCTGCTCTGGTCAGTTGACAATGGCTAGCCGGAAAGCCGGGACGGCACGGCGCGACAGGCGGATGCTGGTGGCAGGCAGGCCCAGGGAGTGTGGCGCAGGGTCTCAGAACGGAGGGCGAAGAGCGGAGAGTACTTGTCGTAGGTAACTCGAACGGCTGGGGGGGGGCATGACTGACCTGGCTGGGCTTTACACAGCAGGGGTGGCTGCGCTAAAGGCGGCTGCTGTGGCCGACCCACTGCTTCCGTCGCCTCCACCTGTGGTGGCACGGCGGGCGGCGGTGGGACCTGCGCGGACGGCGCTTGCGGCCTATCGACGCGGGCTGGAGCTGATGCTGGCGTTTGTGCGACGGGCGACGACGCAAGAAGGCAGCGGCTGTGATGGAATTGATGATGGCGCCGCGAGTGGCGATGCCGCCGAGGCGGGAGCGGCAGCAAGAGCAGCAGCGGCAGCGGCAGCCGTGAGGGATGCGTTGTCGCCCGGACACGCACGCATCATGACCCGGCTGGCCTCGTATTTGAGCCAGGCCGAGGCGCTGCAGGAGTTTGTAGACAAAGTCGAGGCTGAGATGGCGACTGCGATGGCGGGAGAGACTGCTTCGTCGTGTGGGCCTGCGCCGGCGCTTGTAGCGTATCCACGCATGCCGACATCATCGGCCGAGACAGCCGAGGCCATTACCGCGGCTGCCCGCGCGCTGCCACGGGCTGCTGCGCAACCTGCGGCTTCCAATGAGGCAGCCTCGTCCGCGCCTGTCCTCGCTGTGAACGAGGATGCTGACGATGCCAGCGCAGATGACGATTTGGAGGTGAAGCTTGAGAGTGGAGGCAGCGAGCTGGAGGAGCTCGAGGCCGAGGCCGAGGCGGTTGCCGCTGAGTCTGCATTGGGCGGAGCCGCCGCCGCTGCAGAGCTGGCTGCTGTGGGTGCAGATCCGGCAGCGCTGGCGGCCGCGGCTGCCGCTGACGCCGCGGTCGCAGCGCTCGCAGCCGGCCTGGAGCCAAAGGTAACACCGGCAGAGCTTTCAGAGCTCGAGCAGGAGCTCGATGCACTGATGCGTGGCGGGCGATGAGCGGCGTGCTGGTGACGTCCACCATAAAATAGCAGGCTCCCGACCACCATTCGAGATGACAGCACCGCACCGCACCACCCTCCCTCTCTCTCTCCCCCCCCCATGCAAGGGCAACACATTAGTCTCGAGTTTTTCGTTTGCTTAGAACATGCCGATCTTGCTGGCAATGTCGAGAGCATCGTGCTCGGGAGCCAGGCGGATGAAGGCCTTCTTCTGGCCGTCCGGGCGGATGAGGGTGTTGACCTTGGCGGCCTTGACCTGGTACACCTTGTTCATGGCGTTCTTGATCTGCGGCTTGGTGGCGCGGATGTCCACAATGAAGACGAGGGTGCGGTGGTCCTCGACAGCCTTCATGGCCACCTCGGTGGTGAGCGGGAACTTGAGGACCGAGTAGTCGTTGATGCGAGCCTTGCCCGGGGCCGACTGGCGCGGGTAGAGCGGCTTGCGGGCCTGCTTCTTGGTCGGCTTGGTCTTCCACTGGACCTTCGTGTGCACCTTGCGGTTGGACTTGAAGTTGCCCTGCGTCTGAGCGCGGGCGGCCGACTTAGCCTTCGCTGTAGTTGTGTCCAACCCCATGTCGGTCGTGTGAGTCAAAACGTCGCCATCCCCCGCCGCCCATCCCGCCGCGCTCCTCACCGCCCTCCCGGGTGCTGCGGGTGCCCACACCCACCACCACAGCCCATGCTTGCTCGCCCTGCACTTGCGCATTACGACCATGGCATGGGGGGCGTTGTGGCCGTGGGCGTCAGGGGCTCCTCGCCGCCGCCGCACACAAAGTATGGCCCACCGCACACAAATTCGATGATGCGCTGGGCCACAGCGACGGTGGACAAGCAGCTCCCAGGGGGGGTACACAGCACCAACGGAATACACCGGTCGTCTACAGACGCAAGAGCATGTATCCAACGTCGTAGGCAAGGAGCACCTCGTGGTAAGGTTATACTAGCTTTGGTTACGTACTCTTGGTGCTGACCATTGTGAGCAGAAGGAGAGAAAACTGTTGCCCAAATGCGTCAATCTGGCACAATCCAGCTCGCGCTGTTTTTCACTTTCCTCACACCCTTGCCGCCACCGCCAAACGACCGAACGAGTGCCACAGTCTCTCGACGTGACAATGGAAAGAGCTGAACGAAGGTTGTGTGGCTCATGGCACAATTTGATTGCCAACGGTCTTTTGACCATGATGCTATCGTACGTGGCCGTTGCCGCCCCGCCTCCCCCTCCCCCGGTCCCTGCTCCTCTCGACAGCGCACGACCTCGCACCTGGGGAACCGCCTTCACCTCTTCGACTCCTTTGTTCAGCACTCGTCGCTCACGGCACGACGGATAGCTACACAGGTTTGCACGCGCCAGACAGAGTCGAGAATAAGCGCAGGCGCATGGCTTGGCAAGGAGGGGTGGGCGAGGCCGGGAGCAATGGCCGTGCCCGCGCCCACGTTCGTGCGGCTGGCCAAGACAACGCAGCAAGTGTAGACGGCGCCAACGTCCTACCGCTCGCGCCATCGCTGCGCCCTTCGGCAGTGTCCCGAGCAGACGCACTGAAGCAGAGCGACAGCCTCCAGCCGATGCCAGCACATGGTGCTGCGGTCGCAGCCGGACGTGGCGAGCCAGAGTCGCGCCCGGAGGCAGACTCGTGGCGCCTGCGAGTCCGGCGCATGTCGATGATGGCCGGCAATGCCGACACCGAGCTTATTCGGGCTGCCCGTGGCAAGGTTCCGCTGGGAAGCTCGGATCCGGCGCTGCTAGTGGGCCGGGCGACGGCCCAGGCAAGCAGCTCGAGCTCGACGTCATCCATCGGGAGCTCGAGCTCTATCTCGGGCAGCTCGAGCACTAAGAGCGACTCTGACACGGGCGCTGGAGCCGCTACTGCGCAGGAGCCACATCTCGACGCTGAGTCGGATGTGGAGCCTGGCCTGGTGGCATCGAAGGGCAAGACCGGACGAGTTGTTTGGTTCTCGCGGGCGGGCACATTCAACGCGCTCGCCAAGACGCCGTCGGTGGCGCGCTTTCTGGGCGAAAGTGCCGAGCGCGATGCCGAGTCGCCGGCGGCCGCCGAGGAGTCGATGGCGTCGTTGATGGCCGGCCAGCGGCCGCCGTCAGTGCCGGTGCGCACAAGCTCGCGGAATGCGCGGCTCCGCCGGGCGGTGTTCAACACGCTCGACGCCCCTGAGTCGTCGCGGTTGGCCTACGTCATCAACGTCTTCCTGCTCTTGGTCATTTTCGTGGCCACCGGCGCTTTCTGCGTCTCGACGCTGCCCGAGTACTTTCGTGACGAGCCACTGGCCCTCCGTCTCATCGAAATCTTCTCCATCACCATTTTCACACTCGAGTACGTACTCAAGGTCGCCACGGCGCCGTCGCTGTTCAACTACGTAGTTTCACCGGGTGCACTGATTGATCTGGCATCGATTGTTCCGTTCTTTGTTGAGCTTGTGCTCACCGGCTCAAACGTGGCGGGGCTAGCAGTCATCCGAGTGGTGCGACTGGCGCGGGTCTTCCGGCTCTTCCGACTCTCCAAGTACAACCACCGCTTCCTCTCGATCGTGCGGACGCTTGTCACTTCGGCCTCGGCGCTGGTCCTGCTTTTCTTCCTCTTCCTCCTTTGCGTCGTCGGCCTCTCGTCAGTCTTGTACTTTGGTGAGACGGCCACGCTAAGCTTTGATCGGTCGGACCAGAGCTGGCGGACCAAGGCGGGCGGGCGGGCGCCGTTCCAGTCGATCCCAGACGCGTTCTGGTTTGCTGTTGTCACGCTCACCACCGTTGGCTATGGCGACGCCATGCCGACGACCGAGTTTGGCCGTGTCGTGGCCATGATCATGATGCTGGTCGGCATGCTTGTCATTGCCTTTCCCACCACCATCATCACCTCCAACTTTGAGCTCAACCCGCAGCCCGAGTACCCGGCCGAGCTGCATCCTTCATCTCGTGCTGAGGACGCGCTTACCTTTCTTGCGACCGAGTCGCGCGACTCGCTTGCCGTACTTGGTGACCTCAACTCGGCGACTCATGCCGCCACTCGCTCCGCCTACTCAATCCACATCCTTCTTGCCGCACTGCACAACGAGCTCGAGGCCAACGGCGAGCTGTCACTCTCCACGCCGGCGCCCATCGACACCATCGATCCCATACCTCCGCTGCCTATTCCCTCGCCGCCGGCATCACTCCTGCCCCACTCGGCGTCGGCACCGGCGCAGGCGTGCGCGCAGGCGCAGGTGCCACTAGCCTCCCTCCCCTCGATCAGCCGAGTCTGGCACTACCGCCATCGATATCTGTTCGCCGCAAATGATCCGCCCTTGCACACGAAGGTGATAGAGCCCAGCATCTGTTCAAACATGCCCACCTGGCCACAGCTCGTCACGCCATACAACCGACAACGACTGCACCTCACTTCCCCGACAGCACTAGCCAGAAGCGGAGAACCAGGGCCCATGCCGCGGACGACGGTGGAGGCGCTGTATGACTTTGAGGCCAATCCGGCTGCGGTAGGTGGTCGGGCATGTGGGACAGCAGCAGGTGGCGGCTGGGTGGCCGTTGGGAGTGGGCGCGGGGCTGAGGCGGGCGGGCTGGCGGCGACTCACCTGGGCACGACAACCGGGCGACGACGGCGGCATGGCGACTGGATAGCCTCAGAAGCAGCTGGGCTTCAAGCGCGGACAGCGGCTGCAGGTCTCTACGATGGACGGTGAGTGGTGGATGGGCCACATCGGGCCGAGGTGGGGCCTCATCCCGTCCAACTATGTCAAGGTTGTTGAGGACAGCGCCAAGGCCAGCGGCGCAAAGCCGGCATGGCTTGCTGGCGAGATGACGACGACGACCTCATCTGACTATGTCTATGACGACGAAGAGGGCGAGGGTGAGATGGAGGAGCTTCTGCTGCTGGATGATGCCGAGTTTGGCGAGGGCGAGCCGGAGATCGTGTACGTCGACGAGCTCGGCGAGTTTGACGAGTTTGACGGTGTCAATGCCAGTGAAGCCGAAGATGTCATTTACGAGTATGACGATGCCGAAGCGCTGGACGATGCGCTTGTGGGCGAAGGCGAGGTGGAGTGGGCGTTTGAAGACGGCGAAGGCGAGCTCGGCGAGGAAGAGGTGGAGTGGGCGTTTGAAGACGGCGAAGGCGAGCTTGGCGAGGGCGAGTTCCTGGACATGATCGGTGAAGGCGAGCTGGGCCAGGGCGAGCTGTACGATGAGGCCGAGTTTGACATGTTTGGCGAGGACGAGGGCGAGTTGTTGGCTTACGAGTTGGGCGAGGGCGAGTTTGAGGATGCAGCCGAGGATGACTCGTTTGGATCCGAGCTCGAGGCGCTGATGGCCTCCACGTCCGAGACCGAGAACGCGGCCGCGCCGGACACTGCAACCGATCCACCGGAAAGCGGAGACGACGGCGACGACTCGTCCGAGTTTGACTTTAACTTTGAGTCGACCGAGGATGGTGATGGCGGCAGCAGCGACCAGCAGCTACACAAGTCTTCATCGTCGGACATTGACTTTGGCGCCTTTGCCACCGACACCGCCACCGGCACTGCATCATCGGCCGATTTCGCTGCTGCTGGTTTAGGAGGCGGCGGATCTGGCTCAGAGTCCTCGATCGACTTTGGTGCCTTTGACTCGACCAGCGCATCGGCGCTGAGCGCCAAGCAAGTGAGTGTGGACCTTGAGTCGTCACCCCAGCCGTCGCCCGAGCCATCACCCGAGCCATCACCCGAGCCATCACCCGAGCCGTCGCCCGAGCCGTCGCCCGAGCCGTCACCCGTGGTACAGCAAGTAGTGGTGATGACAGAGCCCGAGACCGCGGCTCCGCCTCAGCTTGTTGCGGCCTCGGGCGAAGAGATTGAGGCGGCCTACAAACGCGGCTACGAGCAAGGCTTTGATGACGCCCTTGCCAAGCTGGCTGAGCAGGAGGAGGCAGCGGCGCGTGATCGCACCGTTCCTGGAGATGACTTTGACTACGAGTACTACTACGAGCCGTCTGTCGCGGCCGAGTCACGATCGCCGGCCTTTGGGTTTGACGGAGGCGACCGGCCGCGCTCTTCGCTGTTGCGGTCAGCGGCGGACCAGCCTCTGCGGCACTCGCGCGCTGCAGCATCGGCATCGCGTGATGGCGCCTTTTCCCAGCGGCGAGCGCCCGACCGTGCCTGGCCTGCTGAGCCACGCCGATCTCAGCAACCACGCCGTGAGTTTGAACGGCCCGAAGTGGAGCCGCGTAGCGTAGACCGACGCCATACCAGCAGCTCACCGTTTGCAGCGCGAACAAGCATCTTTGACACAACGCCCGAGCCCGAGCCGGTCTATCAGTCTCCGGTGATGGCCTTGCCGCCGCGAGAGTCGCCTGCTGCACTTGAGCCCGCGCCTGTCTACCGGTCTCCAGCGGCTGTCCTGCCGCAACGAGAGTCGTCGACTTTGCGCAATCCGCTCACGTTTGCGCCTCCGCCTGCGAGCCCGTCGTTCGAGCCCCGGCCGCGAGGCGTTGATATTGGCTTTCCCACCCGCTCGCCGTCCCGCGATGCCACCCCTCCGCCGGCATGGCGCGGCTCGTCATTGCACCGAGGAAACCGGTCGCAGTTTGACAGTGCCGACGGCCACCCTGGCGCCGCAAACCTCGGTCGCGAGCCTGCCCGTGGCCGTACCCCGGCGTCATCACTTCGTCTCAGCCCAACCGGCCCGGGACCTGCACTTGCCGATGTTGGTTACTCGATCGAGGCGCTCTTCTATGCCCGACAGCAGAGTGGTGCCAGATCGGGACCGCCTTCCCAGTTCTAGCCATCCACCACCACCGCCCGGCGACCACCCACCGCCCGGCGACCACCGCCCGGCGACCACCGCCCGGCGACCACCGCCCACCACCCCAACCAAGGTACCCTCAACCGTCAACAAGACTTACTCCTCTCTCTCAACCGTCAACAAGACTTACTCCTCTCTCTCTTCCTCTCTCCCACTCCCCGTCATCGACAGTAGCCGTCACTTCAGCCATACAGTCTTGAGGCGGTTAAAACGTCTAAAGACCTCGATCTGAGGACCCGTTTCCGCGTTTGCTGCGGCGGACGTCGGACCTGGATTAGGGTGATGCTTATGCGAAGAGAGCACGGAATTATCAGCTGCTGTGGGTTGGAGGGGGGTGTTTGTGGAACATCGCCACTTGGAGCGGAGACACCTAAACGAAATGAAGAATCTAGTTGCCGGGGGTTGATGCGAGAGTCCTCGCGCCGTCCCCACGGCAC